TAATAAACCTGTAACCAAGAGAGTAGAGCGAATCATTATTCCTTAAACAAAAACGTGGGGGTGGGGGGAGGTAGAGGAAGAGGAGAAGACGGAGCACAGTGAGAGCAAAGCTAGATCTTGGCAAAACGGTTCTCTGCACCGCTCTGTGTGCAGCTTCACATGCTCCACACTCTGCAACCCTCAGTGACCTTTGAGTACACAGTCTTGGGGCTTCTGAGTTGATTCATGTTTGCCTGTTTTACCACAGTTGGACACTTCCATTTTATCTTTTCATGGGGGAATTAGCAGAGTTTTCAGGAAACAATACGAGCCACCACTCTTTTCAATTGCAATGGGGGAGATTTGGCATAGAGAGCAAGATGTTCATAAGGGCATCTGTTACCTCTCCTAATTAGTGACATTTCAATTTCATGTTCTCTGACTTCTTTTTTACAATTTTTATCAAAACCTTCCCTACCTCTTGCAAACCTAATTCTATTTTAATGCCCACTATTAAGATAATGAACTGGGATGGCAGCACACCATCAAATGAGAGAATGTCTGGAGTTTATCACCACTAACTCACACTGCTGGGGACTTCAGAGAAACACATTCCTTGTAGAGATTTCTTGGGGTGGCTTTTTTTTTTTTTTGGCTCTTTATGCAAAGTTGAAGGTCAAGGAGAGGTCACAGCTATACAGTAATTGAACTTATAATATTGCTTCCTCCAGCTAGTTCTGAACATTTATAAGAAACATCTTATCAAGACATTTAAGTCATTGAAGTGTCTCATAAGTTTTATTTTTTACAATTTTTGCGGCCCCCTCCAAAAGTGGCCAGCCACTGAAAATTTTTTTACAGCGGTTCGTACAAGCTCTACAAAGTGGAATTTCTAACTCTTAAGACCCATCTGTGTTGTGTAATGCTAAGAATTACATATCAAATACAGAAAATGAGTGGGCCATATTATATTAGCTTCTGCAAAAGTCAAGAGCTTTTAGTTAGCAACTTGGATTTGAATAGATTGGACATGAGCAGCACATAAAAGATACAATGAAAAGTTTAATGATGATTAAAGGATCTACAGTCTACTATGAATTTTAGTTTGTGAGTCTGCCCACTCAGAAAGGAAACAGTTCCTAAAAAACAAATCGCTAAACAGAGAGGGGCAGGTTTGTAAAATAAAAATGCATGCCTCCTGACATTTTAAGGTTCTCAATATCCTATATCTTTATGCTCTTTTGTTATCTCAAAAGTAATTAAAATCAATAATGAAACTGGCATCTAACTAAAAGGATACTGTTGGCACTCTTATTGGCAATATATATTACATCAGTTCCTGTATATGAAGTCCCTGAACTGGCTAATAAAAATATTTAAAACACGGATCTACAACAAATTGTGCTGCAAATCAGGTTATCATTATCTTGTATAAACCATGAAAATTGGAATCATGTGAGCAGAAGGTTAGATTAATTCTCCATTCTCATTATAAGCACAGGTGTAGCACAAACACCATGTGAAATAACCAATTAAAATGAAAAAAAAAATCTGCTTTTTCATTAGCTGCCTTCACTGCATGACCAATTAGAAAATTATTTAATATTAATATTCCGCATATACCAAAAGTAATTTTCATAGTAACTAAGATAGGTAAGAGAGCAAAAAACAGCTCTTTATCTATGGTACTGTTCATAATCTGCAGGCTCTTAGAGGAAAGGGACTCTGGTAACATTTTTTAGAGTCCTTTTAAAAACATATTATTTTGTGGATATGATTTATACTATTCATCTAAAAATAGGAAGAGCACTTTTTAACAGATGAGAAGCCAAGGCTCAGAGAAATTAAGTGACGTATTTGAGGTCACATGTTACCCAAAAGATGTTAGTAACTTGCTGACACACAGCTGGCAAATGGTCGTGAGCACCCCGTCCCCCAATGTCCTGACCAGAGTATGGCCACTATTGTGCCACCCATCTAGAATATTCTGGACTAAATAGATATCTAAAAATGAGCTAGTCTTGAGCCAATCACCGCTGGCAACGACCCTACTGTTGAGTCTGGGAATAAGCATGACTGAACATTTTGTAGACTAGGAATTTTGATGACTGTACTGTTTGTGCATATGGACAAAGATAAGGCTATGCATTAGAAGATTCAGTGACTTATCTGTATTCCAAAGCTTGGCTCCTGCACGCTCATACATTCAGATTTCCAAGGATCACTTCATAATAAGCAACTCAGGTGTGAATCCATGACTGTTAAACCCATGGAGTCATAGAAAAATTAATCCTCAGGTTTGAAATGGGCTTTAACTGTCACCTAGGTTGGTCACTGACATGAATCACCTCTGTGATCTCCCCACCAAGTAGAGAGGTAGCCTCTTCTGGGTTGTTTCTAATAAAGCATTTGCCCTCTTACCTGAAAGTCCATAAATGTAGGTTAGAAGGTTTTGCATTACTCGATCTAAACTCCTTCCACCAGGACAACTCCTTGGGGGTAATTTAAACCATTTCTAATGTCACTTCTTTAGGACAGCCTTCAAATATTTAAACTTAGCCATCATGCCTCATAGGCTTCTCCCTTCTTCTTCCTAGGTTGAACATCCATGATTCTTAACAAGTTCTTCCTAGAGTGAGCCTACTCACCACCTGGGCCACTCTCTGCTCAATATGCTGAGGTTTGTCTGTGTATCTCCAGAGGTCTTCAGGTGACAACGTGAAATACAGTTACCCCATTCCTGCTCCAGTCCCCATGTTGAGAGCAAATACCTCATCATATGGCCTCTTAGCTAAGGACCCACAGGTTTTAGGTGTTATTTTCCTCTCTTTTGGTGGCAATAACCATTTATTGTCATTGACAACACAGATGCAGGCTCTCTGTAGCATATGTAAAGGTGAAAATCCTTTCATTTAATAAAATAAGAATTAAAAAAAATTGAAAACCTCAGAACTCCTAATCACACTGTCCAAACTGTTTGATCTCATCGGTAGGTATGCTTAGAACTTCTCACTTTTGGGGGCACGTGGGTGGCCCCTTAATCAGTCGATTAAGCGTCCAACTTTGGCTCAGGTCATGGTCTCATGGTTGGTGGGTTCAAGCCCTGCATCAGGCTCTGTGTTGATGGCTCAGAGCCTGGAATCGCTTCTGATTCTTTGTCTCCCTTTCTCTTTGCCCCTCCACCACACATGCTCTGTCTCTGTCTCTCAAAAATAAACATTAAAAAAATTTTTTTAAATAAAAGAACTTCTCACTTTTGAAAACTAATTTAAAACAATTTGTTCTATAATGAACATTATCAATACATATAGGACATAGTAAACTCTCAGAATCTTATTGGATTATGCTTCCTATACTTACATGAAACATGGATAATATTATCTGGGTTCATGGTGGACATCATTATCTGAAAATAACTAAGTAAATAGCAAAAGATTTTATTTTTTAAGACAACATCATCTTTTCAATCTTCAAACCATCTCAACATTTGGTTCTCTTTAGTGTATTTTATCCTAGACTATCTTCTATATACTTCCTTTGGAATTATGCTACATACAGTAAAGCCATGTGTTTAGATGGCTTCGGAGTGAATTCAGATACAAAAACATTTTCCTTCTGGGCAAAGTAATAAAATGACATTCTTGCTCCTCCCACTATAAGTCAAACAGAGGTCAGTTCCCCCATCCCTGTATCTGTTTAAATAAACTGGTCCAGCTGTTTGTTTCTAAAGTGCCCTTTGACCTTGCGTCTCATCCTCCCCGCTTTTGTGACAGAATGCTTTACTTTCCATTGTGGAAGATTCTAAATTATCAAGAATTTTCTAAACACTGAACCAGAAGAAAGACTTTTAGATTTTATGTAAACTTACATGAACATATTCCCTTCTTAAAACACTCATTTCAAGAAGCATCAGTAAAATAGTTATTTCAAGCTCATTATGTATGTGTTCGAATATATATCTATATTTATGTCTGAATACATAAATATATATTAGAACTTTAACATAAGAAGAAACAATGTTTTTGAAGAGAAATGAAAACGAGTGATAAAATTCCAATTTGAATGTTCCATAATAAAATCTATTCTCCAACAACCATAAAATAGTTTAAGACAAAATATATCCATGAACTATACACAATCTTTAGTATTTTCCATATTACTATGGTCTCTTTAAAAAGTTTGTTAGTTTAAAGATGTAAGAGGAGAGACTTTTAAATTTTTACAATGGACGTCCAAGCATTATAGCCCTTAAAACTTAGGATGTACAGTGTCGGGAATACATGACAACAGGACATTTCTTCTTACTCATTAAAATCGTTTCACACCTTGGTTTAATAGAATGTGTCTCAAATTTGCTGTAAATTGGGTATTTTAAAAGGTAAACTTTTCAATTAAGTATAAGGTCGGGAAACATCCCGTTTGCCTTTTGTATTACATTCCGAACATCAAGGTATACTTTTTTATAAATCCCAGTTTGCTTTGAAACACAATGTTCTTTTGTGAAGTACTTTTTAAAAACCTGGACACTCTGTAGGTGGTAGAAGACTAAATTAGGGAAAGAATTCTTATATATTTTTTTTTTACAGCATCATGGATTAGAATTTCTTCCTGTGTGACCGGACTATCTCCTTTCTCAAAACAAGACGTTTTACAAAGGAAAGGAAGAAAATGGATTGGCCTTACGGCTTCGTTTCATGTCCACATTAACAGAGACGTATTTCTTTTTACATAGTTATTTGTTTAGGACCAGAGTCCTAGTAAGGGACAATGGGAGGTGTGAAGGAGAGAAGATCTTCAAAAGTGGGATCATCTCAACATTGAATTTAATCCTTTGCATTTTAAAAATAGGAATCAGACAAGGACAATGGGAGATGAATCCTGAGTTCTACTGAAAAGAAATACAGGAGGTTTTCCTTTATTCTTTCTTTTCCTTGCCCCCTACATGTTTGTTTCTCATTGGAACTCAACATTTTTTTTCATTCTGCTAATTCCACCAATCTCTTTTCATTCTCAGTCTTTGTATACCTGA